TTTAATGAAATGAAAAAAAATTTAAAACATGACTGAAATTTGACAAGTAAAACACAAAATTCATTTCATTCTTTTCTGCTTAGAAATGTCTCAAATAGCATATTTAAACATGATGTTTAAGCATACAGCAAATGAATTAAGAAATAGGCATTCAGTTATACATGTATATTTTAGTTGAGTCATCAAAGATTAAAGGACAAAAAACTACCAAAAATTTAAAACTAAGGTCAATTCAGGACCTAAATCACTACCTACAAACTCTCTACCCTCTTTTGATTTTCTTTAGTTTTCTCAAGTTCATATATCATTCTTATGTGAATTTTGGGTTCCATGTCATTTTCTCTCCACATTTCTACACAGTTCTCTTTGTCACAGACAATGAAACCATTGTATTTTCTACTGGAATCTATCAACGTCTGCTAAATCACTCTTCTGGAGAGTACATATTTCATGAAATATGTGATTAAAGGGAAAAGGAATGGAAATGAAATTATACTTTTACACTAAAAGAGAACTTCTGATTAAGATTGTTATTATACACAAAACATTATGCCAGTACAGTCAATTTTGTGAAAATCTGTATACATATAATAACCTTAATGGAATTCTTCACTATTTCAATGTGTAACAGATCTATTAGAAGATCTATTTAAAAAGTAAAAATGGTAAAGCATAGCTGCTACTCACCTGGTGGATGCTATGGTGTTTATCTCATATAAAAATTATTTCACTGGATAATCTAATGGTTAAAATTCTTTATTAATTTCAACATTCTAAAATTATGTTTTAATTTTTCTGTTGGCTTTGAGTAATATAAACATAAAAACATATCCACATATATCTAGACTGGGGAAATTGCTACTATTTATTAGTAGTATTTAAAGAAATCAACTCAGATAAGCAAATTTGTATATATTAGTATTTTCAATACATAGGTGACCAAGCTACATATATGAAGAAAATATAAATGCCATCCACCAAATTCTGCTTTCTTTTTGAGTGTGTTGCTTGCTTAGAAAACCTCTCTCGGAAACACACCTAACCCCATCCAACTAACCTTTCAGGAGTGCGGTTTCCCATGCGCATAAACAGGCAACTTAGAAGGCACACCGGAGTGTAAGTTAATTTCATTAATGCACTCTCAGGGTAAGCACATGTGCAGCTAGTATTTCCAAACCATTTCTTTTGCCTAAACATTTCTCCTCCTTGAGTTATTTATACATTGTGTAGTAGAACTAGAGTGGGTGCTAAAGGTAGAGCCAGATGAGAGCCTTTCTAGATGTAGCTCACTGGTAGTAAATCATGGGTTTTTATCAAGGAAACTCTTGAGAAAGCAGGATGTCCATGCTGGAGAAAAGGCTTTTAGAACAGAACAAGCTAGATAATGAAGACATACACTCTTTAGCTTTAGCTATTTATTTTCTAAACCACCTATTAATATATGAATTTGTTCCACAAATATTTGTCAAGTACCTTTTTTATGTTGTTGACTATCTCTTGTGCAGCGAATGAGACCTAGTGAAAAGCAGTCTTTCTGCACCTTCAACCTGGGGTGAAAAATAGCTTTAGGATTCCTTGTGGTTCTTGTGATTAAAACCAAGTGTGCACATGCATGTACACAGATAGTTTTTTAAAAATGTGTGTGCATGTGTCTAAATACATATGCGCATATTTGGTCTTAATATGAGATTTATATTAATTATGTTTTTATGAATTACACACACATTTGCAATCTACACAAACACATATCATTCCAGGTCTCTTGACATTATTGTACCTAATGACCAAAAGTGGTGAATGAAATTAAATTCATACAACCTAATTAATCCAGAAATATCATGGACTTCCCAAGTTTACAAATTCTAACCAAAGGTAGGATTTTTGTTTTAGATAAGGTGGAATGAAGGAGGATGGTAAGAGGCTACCTTTCTTTCTTTAACTGGAATGCCTAAAAATAAAGCACAAGAGTCTGAAAATTGCTATAAATATAGATGTCATTTGATCTCCATCACAAAGCTAGTGCCTTAATAGTCTACTCTCAAGTAGTCTAGACATTATTCATTTCATATGTGTTCAATTCAAACTATAAATCATGGATTTCTATCTTATTAAAACGTAAATATCAGTGGAAAGCCAGTACTTTCCTGATAAAATACCTTTTAGTTGTGTTTTGACATTACTTTCACATTTAGTATATGACCTCTATTTAACTTTACTATTAATTAACTCACACCCCAGGTGATAACAAAGTTCAAGGACTTCATCTAGGTGTCATGTTGAAAGCTTGGTGATGTCCTGAGGCTGCATAGCGTTTAAATATAAAGCAAACAAATGTGTTTTGATATGATACAAGTTGACGGTATGAAGGTGGAAACTTTGTCTTTTAAGGATTTTGAAACAGGAAGATCTTCGTTTAGAATATGAATCCAATGATTGAAAATTTAATGATGGTGATGCGAGGAGAACTGACTCTGAGTGGTGAACACACAATGTGATATATAGACGATGTGTTATTGTCACCCCAATAAATTTTATAAATGAAAGAAAAATTAAGAAAATAACTTGAGGTAATAAGTCATTAATATTATAAAAGTTGAAAAGATTAAATAAAAAACAATGAGATTAACTGAAAAAAAAGTACATTCATTCAACTTGAAAGAGATGGGCATAATCATCTCTCATTTTCATCAGTAACTCTCAAAGTGAAAGACAACACACTGCAGTTAGAAATGTGAATAAGAAAGAACAATTCAAATAATAGTAGCTAGTATGAAATTACAGTACAATTAGTTTAATTTAATTATAAAACATCCCATTAAAGTTACTTGGTTTTTAGAAGACACCCCTATTCCACTTCAAAACTGGCTGAACATTAACTGTAAGAGAAGTAATGCCACCAGAATATATAATCATTAACAATATAAGTCACAAAAGTATATGAAAATGAAAATAAGTTAAACTGTGGAGAGTTTTTTTGTACACGGAACATACTCCATAGTTATTTGTTGAATTGATTTTATTTTAATTAGCAACTTACCAGCTGTAATCATCATTATCCCAACACTAACAATAATTAGGTACCTATCAGTGCTTGGCAGACTATGGACTTCTCTCTGATTCTTCCACAACCCTGAATGGGACATTTATTTTCTATTTCACAGAGGAGGAAAAGGTTGCCCAGATTTATCAAGCAACTTTTCCATGGTAACACAGTACATAGCAAAGCTGTAATATGAACTCAGATGGGTTTGATACATAATCATGCTTATTTCATCACACTATGCTATAAACACTAAAAATATTATATAAAATATGGATTTACAGAAAATATTGGGTTTGTTTTAATTGCATCTCTATTTCCACCCCCTTCTTGAAACCAAATTAAGCTTTCACTTAAACTGTAAAACCAATCACCTGAAAATAAAAATTCAAAAAGGAAGGGACATGGCAGAAGTATTGATATGAGGATTTTGAAGGGAGAGGTATGGTAGATTGGAAACAATGGCAACACTCTTTCCATCCCCATAGGCATGCCCCCCTCAAAGTGGCTTTGCAGGTATTCCCATCAAGAAGTCAAGTCTATATTCCTATCCTTTGACTCTGTTCTTGAACATTCGAGTTGCTTTGGCCAATAGACTTGGTAAATGTGACGGAAGCAGAGTTTGCTTTTATCATTGCAAACCAGTCTTGCCAACAAGGCCACGTTGGAGAGGGCCCAGGTGCCCCAGCCAGCAAGCAGCCTGATAGTTGCCAGCTGAGCGAAGCCTCCTACCCAGCCCGTGTGCCAACCAACTGCAGTGAGCCCAGGTGTCACCAGCAGAACCTGCCCTGCTGCAGTACCCCAGAATTCTTGACCCACAGAATTGTGAGCTATTGGGTTGTTGGAAAAGTCATGATGCATGTTTGCAACAGATGGCACTAGTTCATTTTTGGAAGTACTAGAGTCATTCGCATCTATGTTATTGCTATGTCATTTGACAGCTGACAGTTCTAACTTCATTCTAAAAAAAATTGAGTGATTTGGTTGAGTTTTGGAGATTTTATAACAAGTTGAAGATGGAAGACCAAACTGTGCATTTTTGCCATATTTTACTGTTTTACTTCCATAAACAGAAGAATGCGCATCAAGCTTGTGAAAAGTTGCACAAAGTTTATGGTGACAATGCTGTATAAGAACATTAGTGCCAATGATGTTTCACGAAATTCTGTGCTGGTGATTTTGATCTCAACGACACTCTTCGGTCAGGGAGGCCCACCGAGGTTGATGATGACAAAATAAAGGCATTGATCTAGTCAAACCCACATTACACGACATGAGAGATTGCAGAAACATTGAACATCCATTACTCAAACAGTCATGACCACCTGAAGAAGCTGGGATACATAAGAAAGCTCAATATTTGGGTTCCGCATGAACTCAAAGAAGTTCATTTGATGGCGCATATAAACATCTGCAATATGCTCATTAAACGTGAGGAAAACGATCCTTTTTTGAAGTGACTAATAACTGGTGATGAGAAGTGGACGTTTACAACAATGTCCAACAATGCGCAAACTGTCTTGGTCCCAACGTGATGATTCCTCAAATGACATCGAAAGCAGACATTCATCAGAGGAAGGTTGTGCTCTCAGTGTGGTGAGATTTAAAGGTGTCGTGTTTTTCAAGCTCCTACCAAGGAACCAAACAATCAATTCAAATGTGTACTGTTGGCAATTGGACAGTTTGAATGAATCCATCATCCAGAAACGTCCAGAACTTGTTAATTGTAAAGGAGACGTGTTCCATAGTGACAATGCGAGACCACACACAAGTTTGATCACCTGTCAAAAATTATTGGAGCTTGGATGGGATGTGTTGCCACACCCAGCATACTCGCCTGAACTTGTGCCGTCAGACTTCCACTTGTTTCGCTCTCTTCAAAACTTCTTGCGTGGTATAACGCTCAATTCAGATGAGGCTGTAAATCAGCACCTTGTTCAGTTTTTCGCAAATAAACACAGGTCCTTCTATGAACGAGGAATTATGAAGCTCACTGAAAGATGGCAAAAGGTTATAGAACAAAACAGGAAATATATCATTGATTGATCTTTGTTCTTTATATGAATAAATGACCTTTGAACAACATAAACAAAATACGTCATGACTTTTCCGACAACCCAATAATAAATGTTGATTTTTTTCAAACCATAGTTTCATGTTGTCTGTTTACATAGTAAATGCTATGATAAGTTAATTATTAAAAATACATAGAATTTTAAGTCATTTTTCCCAATGGTGACAATGAGTTTGCATTGAACCATATAATTTTTTATGTCCATTCTCACTTTGTGACTAAGTAATGCATTTGGTAGATGCCTTCGATGCTATGAATATTTCTTTTTTCTAAAGAAGGTTAACTGAACTATTTAGGCATGGTACCCAAGATCCTGGCTTTATTAGCATCCTACTTCTGGAACTGAGAGGCTTGGCTCAAACACAGGCCTCAAAAGTGTCTCTCAGCCAACTGAACGGAGTGTAAATATGAGGCCTACCTTAGGACTTTCCAGAACCCTGGCCTTTGGCCTTTCTGGGCTGCTTCCTCTAAAGAAGTAATGATAATTACAGTTTATGACTGCATTGGTATAAAGATTAATATATTATATTACATATTAAAATATTTCCTTCAATTTAAAGGTTCATTTTTTTCCTCTGATTTTAACAGAATCTGAAACACTGTTGCGCACCCCTAGAAGTAGTGTGGGCCCTGAGCTCTGCCTTCATCACCAGGCCTAATGAAAAAGTTGGCCTAGACAGACATTATAAAGCATAAACTTATTTTCTTCCTTCTCATTCTTCAGAACTGCTATTTTATAACCAGGATTGAAAAGCTGTGTGTGTGTGTGTGTGTGTGTGTGTGTGTGTGTGTGTGTGTGTGT